TCTGTTATAGGTGGCTGTCTAATGGGGCAGATTATTGGGAACAAGTTTCCATGCTTATACTACATGGCTAAACTCTCCACTTTAATGTTTTATTGCAGTGGTAACAGTGTGTGGCCTTATCACGCTTCTGCACTTAGGTAGAACACTTCTAATGCTTCACCACTGAGCATGGCGTTTGCTTTAGGTTTCTGGTAAGTCACGTTTTTCAAACTATTGAAACTGCCTTCTCTCTTAGGTATCCAGGATTTTTAAAATGTCATAACTGAATGTTGATTATCATTTGGTTATTATTCCCTATTCTCTTGCTATGGTGAGTGACATCTTTTCCTAAGATTTAACTATTTTCGCATTTCTGTGATACACTGTACTTATTATAATGTATTAGTATTTTCATACGCTTGGGTCTGATTGGCCAGTATTTTATTTGTTTTTGTTCAGAATTACGATGGCTTCTAATTTCCTTTCTCGTGCTGTTTGTTTTGTAGCATCAGTTTTGTGTTTGCCTGTGGAAGAATTTAGTCAGTCATAGATTTTTAGTGCTTCAGACGGAAAGGCATTTCAGAGACATGGGCATGTTTGGTGAAGCAGAGCCTTCAGCAAGTCTGGGAGTTCTAGAATTTATGAATTATTCCATGTGTGTTTGAGGAGGGTCATTTTCTGTTTTCAGAGCCCAAGACATGAAATCCACGTTCAAAATCCTTTCCAGTGTCTCCTCATGTGACCCTCCAAGTCTGGCCCTCAGGCTACCAGCAGCTCCTGGAAATCCTGACATACTCCTTCTTAGAAGACTGCTTTCTAGGCTCCAAGTGGAACCTCAAATTTTCAATTTTCTTTGTTTTAAAAGCCTACACATAGGTGATGAGATAGATACATGCATGTCTATTTTGGAGAATTTGTAATTCTGAAAACAGTGCTGGTCTCATGGAACCCATATATTCCGCTTTCGCCGTGTGCGCTCCGAGCTGTAGTGGCATGTGACGAGGGGTCCTTCCAGCAGTGACACACAGCCCTGGGCTGCTTAAATCTGCTCACCCTGTTTACAAGAGCAAGACATTCACATTCTGTGTTTTGAAGTCATTGTTATTTGGGGATTTCCATCACTCACACCCCTGATCACAGCAGGCTGTTTTAGCAATCCCGTTTGCTCAGTAACCACCCTCCCCCATTAGTTTTAAACCTGCATTTATTGTGTGCTTAGTCCTGGCTCTCTTTAGTGGTTGTGGTCCCCTTCTTCCCTGCTCTCTTAATCATGGGATTGCCGACATCCGCTCTGTGTTTCTGTACCGCCTGCAGCCTCCGGCCTTGGTACTGTTCTTCACAATGGTATTTCTTTTTTTTTTTTTTTTTTTTTTTTTTTTGAGACGGAGTTTTGCTCTTGTTACCCAGGCTGGAGTGCAATGGCGCGATCTCGGCTCACCGCAACCTCCGCCTCCTGGGTTCAGGCAATTCTCCTGCCTCAGCCTCCTGAGTAGTTGGGATTACGGGCACACGCCACCATGCCCAGCTAATTTTTTTTTTTTTTGTATTTTTAGTAGAGACGGGGTTTCACCATGTTGACCAGGATGGTCCACAATGGTATTTCTAACCTTCCTGTAACTTCTCCACTCAGTCAGGCTCCCACAGTTCGTCACTCAACTGCTCTCTTTCCATTGTGAGCTTCTGAACTAGTTCACACCCAGATACACTTGTGTCATCTGCCTTTCCCCTCATAAACATGGGCCGCTGCTGGAGAAAATCCACCACCAAACTCGTGCAGATCTCTGCAAATGTGTAATGGCCTGTCTTAGCCGTGACCTCCACAATGCTGGGCCATCCCATGTCATGTCCCCAAGATGTCCCTTCTCTCTTGTCTTTAGGGATAGTCCTAAGCTTCCATCCTGGCACTCAAAGTCCAGCCTTATTTTTACTCTCATTCTCTGAGCAGACACCACTATTCCGCCTCACAGAGAAAATGTGGCTGCAGGGGATGAATTCTTTTGACTTCCTGGCCCCTTCCCATACCTGATCTTTCTCCGTGTTCTTGCCTGTTGTTCTTCCAGGTTGATAGAAGTGTCTGTTCTCCTTGTCAGCGTCCCAGCCTTGGATCTGTCTCCTGTTCTGTTCTGCCTGTGTAGGGACCTTCCTAACCCACCGGGCCACCACCTCCTGCTTCTCCAATCCCTCAGTCTGGATGGACTCCTAACCTTTGGTCAACAAAGACTCAAGCTTTTACATTCATAATGGAGCATCTGTGATGAACCCTGTTCTTTTCTAGACACTACCCTCTCTTCTGCCTTCCATCCATGGTGATTCTTCTAGAAAGAGCACATATCACACTGGAGACAGCAAATTCCTTGATCCATTCTAACTCCTAATCCGGCAATAATTTCGTATCTCCCCTACTCAAGTGATTGAGAGTGCTCCTAGTATTACCAGAGACCAGACAATTCCCAATTTGGGACTTTTCCATATTCACGTTTCTTGACTTCCTGTTATTTTACATCACAGATTGCATCCTTCATTTGAAGAGACTTTAATGGAAGGTTGTTAGGGAAACTCTCTCACAGGGCTGACCTCCTACCTCACTGCTTTTTCTGAATGGAGCTCCCGCTTATGCCTGCCTTAGCAAAAGTCATGCTCCCCAAACTCCAGCCCAGGTTGTGAATTGGAAGCAGCTGGGACTATTGTTTCTGGGTGATGGGAGGAGAGGAGGATGTGAACACAAGCTTGTGATGGGCAGAAAGGTGTGCACACAGGCAGAGCCTGACAGGTGCTGGTGGTCCTACCCAGTCCTGAGTTGCTGGGGCCCTCCCTGCCCACTGCCCCCAGAATGGACTTTGGCCTCAGGTTTGAAGTGTTCAGATGTGACCAAGATGGGCCTGTCCCCCATGCCTCAGGAATAGTGAAGAAACTCTATCTGGAAGGTTCCCCACCCAGCAGCCTCTGGTATTAGACCAGGTAGTGGCTGGCCAGGATGATGGGGACAGAAGGGAGACAAAGGTGGGCCGTGGGTGGGGTCACACCCTCCCTGACAGTGAACAGACAACATGGGGAGAAAGGATGAGCGATCTTTAGAACGTTCACAGAAAATGCATGTCAGGAAGAAGAATGCATGGATTTCACATTTTTTGCAACAAAATAAACTTGTACTAACTTGTGAAGACATATCTGAACAGGATCTAGTTTGAGGCCCTAAGAAGCATAAGACAATAGTTTGAAAAGGACGATCAGACAACATGAATTCTGCTAACATTGAAGCCGGAACAAACATGCAATTGATGGGGAAGCTTGGCTGCAAAAATGGTGAAATCACTGATGCTTTATTGAAAGTTTATAGGGACAGTGCCCCAAAGAAATCAGTGGAAACAATAGGCGTCCCTACTATTAGAAGGTGTAGGCATCTCAAGGTGTTCGGATTACACAGTCCTGACTGGAGTTAAAGTTGGGTAAACTTTCCACTCCATGGGTGCCAAAACTGTTTATCCCAACTTAGCTGTACATAGAGAAAAGCTTTCTATGGCGATTTTAACAAGTGGATTCAAGATCCTGAAGCATTTCTTCAAAGAGTTATAGCCGGAGATAAAATGTGGCTTAACCAGTACAATCCTGAAGACAAAGCAGAAGCAAAGGAGTGATACCGAGTGATACCGAGAGGCCCCGTCAGAGCAAAAGCAAACACGTCAAGAGCGAAGTTCATGGCGGCAGTTCTGTGGCTGCTCAAGGCATCTTGCTTATTGACTTTCTGGAGGGCCAAAGAATAGCAACATCTCATTATGAGAGTGTGTTGAGAAAGTTAGCTAACGATTTAGCAGGAAAATGCCCAGGAAAGCTTCACCCCGGAAAGCTTTACCAGAGAGCCCTTGTTCACCATGACAGGGCTCCTGCTTCTCTCTCCACCGTGACGGTGCTCCCGCTCCTCCCTCCACCGTGAG